TAAAATTCTAAAAGATGGCCATTAGAGATTTATATTCATACTGCAATATTATAGAAGAATAAAAGCCTTTGGATAAACATGCAGCGGCGACAACTCATGAGAACCAAAAACTTTGTCGATAACAACCCCAAAGCGATACTTTTTATTTTCCACGTTTGTTTTGATCTCAGGGAAAACCCGTATATATTAGAGTTAACCATTCACCTAATACAATATATAGGAGTTTCCCTGAGATCAAAACAACGTTATTATATAACATCGCTTAGGATATTTTTTATATGACGGGCAGATAACATGGAAGCGCGTTGTTGCCCCTGTCAAGCGAAACCATCAGAAATGCATGGTGTTTATGATATTTTAACAGTCGAAAAACTCATCGCTGGTTCGCATTTGTGCATGCATTTCTGCAGTTTTGATGAAAATATCACTAAATAAGTTAAAACAAGTTCAAATTTCCTTCTGAATACGTACGTCTGCAATATCTTTCAGCTAAAAAATGGATATGAATCAAAGACGTTCTAATCATGAATGGTGTGTTCGGGGATTGGTCTTGTATTATCAGGTAAAAGTTGTTTTAAATTGCTTTCTAATGGCAATGCTCTCTCAACGAGGAAAGCATTCAACGATCATAAAATGAAGAAAAAAATCGACATGAAAAATGGCTAATATTGAATTTTCACAAAACAAAGCAAATAACTTCTTGTTTTAATTATATGTCATTCTTTCCTGGGAGCCGAACACTTATGCAATTTTTGAGGCCAAACATTAAAATGTACGTCCTCCAACTAGAGCTGGTTCATAAAAATGATAAAACAAAAATGGCGATGAATGATGATACATTTATACATTTATAAATGTACACGAAGTATACATTCAGTATACATGTATACCCAGTATAGGAGTGATCATATACTTATGTAATAGTATCTCTGGCTTTACCTTAATTACGGTTAGGGTTAGGGTTATTGAAAATTTTATGACGTCATGTACGTTCGATGTGAACGCCGACCGTCCTCCAACCTATAGTTCCTAGATTATTAGTGTTACCGTTAATATATTTGGTATTGTAACTTGCGCCGAATTTGGAAACCCGTTTGGCCGTGTATACAGCAAAAATTGATCAGGTTGTCGCATCAAGAGTGAACAATGTTGTGTAATAATATCCCATGCACGAACAGTATGATTAACAATGTTATTGAGCCTGGTTGAACCATCAAGATTGATGCAACTCGTTGACATGGTTTTCGTTGCAAATTTGACATTGTATCATAAAATAGACGTCTAACCTTTTAACTTTTATCCTGGCTTTACACCTGACAGACGCTCTGTAAAGCTGCATTTACACACCGGAAAAGTTACATCGGAACGATTTTTTTTCAGTGAAAAAAAGTTTGAATGACTTCGTGTTTCTTTCTTCAGAACAGAAATATTTCCTAATAAAATTTTAAAAAATTCCACCTACAAATGCGGTCCGCGAAAAACTTTTCTAGTGTGTAAATAAGGTGTGTAATATGTGTAAATGAGGTGTAAATGAGGTGTAAATAAGGTGCGTAATAGGCTGCACTCACTGAGCTGTAGAGATCCCTATTGTAGCTACATAGCTCAGTGCATGGTTTTACCCCAGCATGCCCAAAGTATATTAGCATACCTTGCGAGACAATAAGGCCGAAATTGGTTAAACTGAATATGTTAAAACTCCCCAGTTTAATTAATTAAAAATGCTATTTTACTTAGGGACGTGTCCAAGCAGCCTTCATTGCCATCGTTGTAAATGTTCTGCGATATAATCCCAATCACGAGGGCAGTAGAGCTATTGCACCGGTAAGTTCTGGGATCAAACTACCACAGAAATTAGACCAAGCAGTTTTTTCTACCATGCACCGCCACACAATAAATAAATTTGGCCAAATAGCTAGAAGATTACTTGGTGGGTGGATACTCACATATTCGTCATCTTTTGTGAAAGTATTGAGCTGATGACCTCTCACAGTACTAGGTCTATAACATGAAAAAAGCCCCCCGTATTGAAATGAACCTTTCGTTGGAATTTGAATGCATGATCAACGCAGTATAGTAACACGCAATAGCACGCAATTCAGTCTTATAGGCTGCTATGTGTTATCTTAATTAAATCTATCTATCTATCATCTGTAAAAATAGCATAGGTATGAGGTTGAGGCATTCAAAAAATGCTGCTTTCAATTGGGTTTATCATAATATTAAGGCAATCAGATTCTAACAAAGGCTTGATTTCAATAGAGGGGACTTTTTTAGGACACCCCGTATACCCTAGAATTGTTATAGAAACTAGTATGTAATACTTTTCCTATTGAGTTTGTTTCATTATGTTATTTATTTTACTTTGAACAGAGGCTTATGACTCTGAAATGGTTACTGGATTGTGCCCGTAGAGCTTTTGAGAATGGGATGCCACTACTAGCGCATCGTTTGTATTCTGAGGCGTTGGATGTTGACCCCATGAACCAGGCCGTTTGTGCAAATCTATACTACAAAAGGGGGCTCATTATGTGCATGGTAATGACGAAATAAATTTTGGCGAAATATACTGGTAGCCCTGTTGTAGTATACATCATTGTTAGGTTCGAAAATTGAAACATGGAAATTGATTTTTTTTTATCTATTTCTGTACAGTTAAAGATGGTTCCACAAGCCATTATGGATTTCACAGGAGCCATTGAGCTGAATGGGAGCCATCTGAAAGCACACCTTCTCAGGGCGAAGTGGTATGGATAGTAATTAAACGTTCTCCTCCCCCCTTAAGTGTAAATGTGATTTCTTTTTTAATAGTTTTTTTCGAATATACAGTAACTAGCGAATTGGAAATATTACTTCCTTACTCCGTAGGAGTATAAAAGCTTGTTTATCTGGTTATCTGCTAGCCAACAATTAATTGGCTATTCGTGCATCTGTGAGTCGTCTCATGGAGACCTTGGATTAAGTATCGTCTTCTGATCCCATATTTGATTGTTTATAATTTATACTATAATCTATATAGTTACCTCGTAATTGGACAATATGAGACAGCCAGTGAAGCATATTATAAATCTACGCAATGACTGGCATACCAGGTATTCTGCCTCCGATAACTGAATGTTTTCGAGCAATTGAAAGTCTCTTTGGGATGTAGCATTGATAGTTTGTCAGATGCTAGTTTTAAAATATCTTGCCAGATATTGTTTCAGATACGTCTTTTTTCCGATACTCAGTTTAGAAACCAGAGATTTTTATCCATTCCGTGAAAATTTTTTTTATCAAGTTTTCTGGTGTGAACACGTAGACAGACGAGTTCAAACACGGTCCCAAATCTGTCCGGTCTAATTTGAACGCAGCCTTTGAGCTCGATTAGTTATACCATAGACAATCCAGAAGACAGAATTGCCTTCTGGATTGTCTATGGTTATACTGGACCAAGAAAGGATCCGATTACTGGACCACTTTAAGCAGATAATCTTAGAGCAAGAAGCCCTTTCGTATATAAATGAAGTTTACATTATATGAATTACATTATATATTGAACAGAGTATTATCGATTATCTGAAGAAGCATACAATGCGGAGTGTAACCTTCGATTTTGCCCTCTTTACCCTATCGCTGACTCGAGATTGTTCAGTCTTGGACGTGAAGGAAGCTTTTCGTAGGGAGGCGCGACTGCATCACCCAGGTAGGTCCATATCAATGATTACTCGTGTTAATCGTTCGGGCCTTCTGCAGAGTGAAGTCAGCTACTTAGTACTTATCATGGTGCTAAAATTTCGAGCTGTTATTCCTATACCGTATTTACTCGTTTGAGACCTTATTTACTCGTTAGAACTTCAGATGCGGCGCTTAATCAAGGGCGGCGCTCTTTAAAAAATATTATTTGTGGTTGTAACAAGAACTTTAAATAAAAAGAATTGAAAGTTAGACGTAGCCAATTGTCCCCATTTTTACAGCGAGCATTTGGACATTTTACAGAAAACAAAGCTCCTCGCACAAATCACTGGAATCTCTGCCTTCACGACTGACCTGCGCCTTACGAAAATTCTAAAGACCGATTTAGCAATAGCGTCTTCAACAATTCTGACAGTGCGTCACTCCTAAGAAAAATTTATCGCAAATGCGGCGCTCAATCGAGTATGCACACAAGTATGCACTCTTGCACCAGGGATTGAAAGACTGTGGCTATGTAGAGGGGAGAGTGATGCAAGCCATTCGCCCTGCTTTGGATATGGTGCATGCTGTAATGCATATTAGAATGTATGTTTGGTTCAAAAAATTCTAAAAAAGAGATGGTACTGCTTACCTGTAAAAGCCTGAAAGATTCTCCCAAATACAATTATAATATAATTATGTTAATTTGACATAATTCCCCAAAATTCGGACACGTCTGCCCTCTTTGATCTGAATTCACCCTTCACCTTGCGCTCCACTGAACTGAACTTTTTTTTCCAGATCGCCATGCGGGGGCCAGTATTGAGATACAAGAAAGAGAAGAGGAAACATTCAAGCAGGTACAATCGTTGACTTCCTAGCTCGTACAATACATACTAATTTAAATATCCATTATTGTATTGGTCTCAGTTGCGCCTTGTCGCAAGGCTCATGTTAATTATAATACTCAACTAAATTATACAAGAGAGAGTTACAAAGAAGAATAAAATCTCTCAATTTTGTTGACTTTGCGCAAAGGGGTGACGGAGATGGTCGCCCGGGGGACGCTTGTAAGATGCTGGAATCCCCTTAACCCTCAAATTTACTCTCGGGTCTTCCCAAATTATTTCGTTAAAATGGGCTTCAGCAAATGTTTTGCTTGCAGGTACAACGAGCCCGTCAATTTCTCCTTGATTTTCTGAAAAGGAAGAATCGTTTCAATAATCACCAAGTGTGGTTTTTGAATGCAGGTAAAGTCTTCTTTGTATTAGAATTTTGATATAATATGTTCTTGCTAAGCGAATGGAAACACTGTTTTTCAAATTGAAGTTCACAAATATCTGTTGTAGATTATTTTGAACTCTGAATAAGCTCAAGTTGATCCAAGATCAACCAATTTAAAGAACAACACTGACAGTGGGTACTAAACAAAAAAGTCATGATTTTATCTTTTTTTATCATACTTACGCACATGAGACTTACATCCATCTCACTAGTACCTCCTTATTGATATACGCAGGTCTCACCCACTCATCACAAACATGTAAATAATCTACATAAATTAAATCATAATTGTAATGCTTCTGGCAAACAAATATTTTATTGTATAATACAACGTAACTGCATGTTTTAGCGGTTAGATATGGAAAATTAAAGCCGTTAAATTAATAATTAATTAAATCAAATTTTACCATAGGTAAATAGGGAATAGCGCACAGAGATGGGGCGTAGCTTGGGTGGGGTTGAGGGTATTTTTTTGCCAAGGTTCTTTGCAAAGTATGTTAAGTATGTGCACCTGGGACCGCCTAAAAATATTTTTATCTTTGACAAATACAGTATCTTCAACAAATACATGAAACAGTGGCTCTAAAATAGTGGAGTTAATGTGCTTTTCCAGCATTTTTCATGTTTGTACTACAAACTATAAATAAATACAACATTGAAAGTATGTCCCACACCCCATAGTTACGCCCCTGATTGATATTACAGTAATTATTTATTTAAAATGTACTTTATGGAATACGAATGTAAAAGAAACAAGAATATACTCTGTCATTTTATTTGGGTTTATCTTTCTAAATTATCCTTGTAAAGCTAGGTGTACAAGACCGATCTCTGTCGCTGAATATTATATTGTTTTGTTATTGTGCTCAACTAAGTCGGAAGGTTGACATTAAAAATCAAGCCTGCCTTCATTTTCCGTCTAATAATGTTCAGTGCCCTAACATCTTCTTCCTTACAAAGAATCAATTCTAGACGAGAGACCCCCCCCCCCATAAAGAGGCAATTCTAGAGGCGAGAACTCTGGTGTTGGTTGGTTCGTGTGTCCCACGCAAAGCCACGAGAAAAACGAGGGAAGAAGATGGCTGACCAAAATTCAGAGGATGTTGAATTGAATAAGGAATCCAACCATTCTGATGGCTCCTGTGATGAGAGTATGGCCGAAACAACAGACTCAGACTTTTACATAATGATCTAATTATTATGTAAAAGTGGAGAATGAGTATTAGAGTAAAAAAGCACAGATAAAGAAGATACTCAAAAGGTATTAATGATGCATTTTACTCCAGATTTTTTCATGTATAATAGTCATGGAGTATCCTTTAAGCAACTTTGGATCATTTGCAGGAACTAGGGTCACTCTATGCTAATTAATTAACATATACAGCCAATTACTCCAATGGATTAATGGATGAATGTTGCTTCTTGCCAATAGGATGAAGAATGCCCAAAAGGTTGTGTGATTCATTTTGCGGGAGCAGGGGATCAGACAACCCGAGAGGATATCAAAGTACAATATACAAAATGTTGCCTTATTGAAACTATAATGTTTAGGTTTTAACATTGCATATGTTTTTCCAACCAGGAAACTTTCTCCCTGGAAACTTACAAAGTGAAATGGGTTGATTTCAGCATTGGTGATAAAGAGGTAGGTAAATACCATTAAAATTTTGTGTATAATGGTTGTGACAAAGATAAATGGCACTTGATTTTAGACCACCAATTTATAAAGACCATTCTCTCTTTTCTCTTCCATTGACAACACTTTCAGCAACATTTTCATAGAGTTTGCATATTTCCTAATGTTATCTGATTTCCATCAAGTGGTTCTACTGTAAGTACTGTTTTTTTCCTCTGCAGTTACATAGAGCAGAATTTTTCTGAAGGAGAGGTCTGTGTGACTGTAAAGTATGTAAATGTTTTTCTTGTTAACTATTCCCCTATAAACAAATTTCTCACCAATAAAGATCTGTTCACATGATCCAATTTTGTTGGATTAAATTCACTGCAGGGGTGAGGTAGTTAACTTTTAACAATAGTTAGTGACAGAATTGGTCAATCAGAGTCCAGAATTTCTGGGTTAACTGTGCAAAATGTAGTTAGGAGTTTATACAACTGGGCCCCCGATGTGGATGTTTTATAGTCTATTAACTTGCAATGTACATGGTCAGCAAATCAACTTAAGCCAATGCAGTACTTCTTTAATCAATAACACACTCCATCTCATATGTCAGAAGAATCGACTTAATTGGATCTTGTGAACAGACCTAAAATAGGACATTTGCCACTGAAAATCCAGATAGAATTATTTGTCTTTGAAAGTTGACAATACGTCGCCCTCGCCCCATATGTACGGCGCTGTATCCCCCTCATACTGTATCCCCCGAACAATATAATTCTCATCATTGCCATCTTTTAGCTTCACTAATCACTAGAATGTATTTAAATCGACCACCGCTCTTTTCGACATGATCGAGTTTTGCAGACATCTTGTAAGTTGTAAACAAATTAAATTGGTTTACAATAAACACGTGAAAACAAGATCATATTACTAAAATAACTAAAATAGTAAACAAAACCATAAAAAAACACTAGCCCCAGACTCCGTCCGACCAAAAACGCGGGCAAATTCAAAATTTTAAATATAATTACCCAACATGGCGGTTAACTTTATAAGTGGAGTTTTTGACTTGATTTCGTTTAGACTTCGATGAAATTGTGGATGAATTACACAAATAAACATAAGAAAATGTTTGTTCTATGTTTCTCGCAACGCTTCTATTGTTGTGACCGAAAATAAGTGTTCAATTCAAACCATAAGGTGGTCAATTCAAACCAAACTAAGGGATGTCGTGGTTAATGAAGTTGCGACAAATATTCAAGGAAAGGTTGATGGAGTGTAGTATTGCAATCCTCAGCAGTCTTCACCGGATATTTATGAATTGCAGGTAAATGTTGGCGAATGGTTTAAAGCATCGTGGAGCATTTTCTTGTCATACACCATAATAACCCTTCTATTATTATATAGGCAACCGCCGCAGCCCGGACAATGCGGCTTTAATAGGAATATCACAAACATAATTCAACAGCAAAGGAGTTGACTGGACTAAAAAGTAGTTCAAATCTGTTATACTCTAATGAAGGTAATTGAGAAAATGCATTGTACCAAAAGAATACAGTACTTAATAGGTTTAGAGTGTCAGTTCTTTTATCGAGCACCACAATAATAAGGTTCCTGATCAAGCAAGGGGAGATTTCATTTTAAACTAATTGGCAAATTTGTTTGTAGGCAGCCCCTCAAACATATTGATTTGTAAGGTTAGGTCACTGTATCAGTACAGTTTATGAATCCTTAAGCTGTAGTATTATAATATTAAAACTTCATGTAAAATGGTAAATAATGTACCTTTTTACCAGACGTTTTCGATATTCATGCATTTACAGACGAAATTCACTGGTAAAATTTCGTATGAAAACAACGAGGATAACAAATAAATTTTAGATACTCGAACAACATTCCATAGAAAAGATTTTAGCGATCTCACAACGCCCGGTCCCGTGACAACAATAACATCTCTTCGACATTAATTTCCTTTATTATATTTCAAAAATATATTTAAAAACAAATGAAAATTTACAAAACTTTTGCTTATTTGCCGAAAAATATCGTGGGAAGATGCGGCAATCAAAATGCGGTTTGATATAATGATAGGAACGATAAATAGAACATGAACTAGAATAAAATACTTAACTTAGTTTAAACTATGAATTTTATGTAGTAATAACTTAGTTTAAATAGCACTATCACAGAATACAGAATACTTATTCTGTGATACTATTTTATCGACCCGGAAGTAATCGCGAATAAACCGGAAACATTGAATAACCCGGTGAAATGAGCTGGTGAAATGAATATAACCAGTGAATATAACACGTTCACTGACGTAACACGACATCACGAATAAAGCACGTGATTGATACCACTGTTATTTTTATTTATTTTTATTTATTTTTAAAATCATTTTTAATTTGTTTTCATCCAAAATATTAAATTGTTAACAGATATTTCTAATGGCATTGCTAGGCCACCATACACTGTGCATGCACACGGCCACACCGCTCTTGTTTATGATTGGTCGGATTGATAAAAATACAAAATGCACAACATAATAAATACGGCCAATTTCAAAACATGAACTCACGTTTGTGATTTTGCTTTTTTTGGTTCATAAATTCAAGAAACGAAGAGTAAGTATAAATAATAAATATCAGTATATATGCAATGTCGGCCAATGCATAAGTTTTTGCTGCAGTCTTTAAGTACAAATTATGATATATCGTTATAAAATTTGTCAAAATTTTATATCGTTGGTATAATATACCAACACATACGGACCAAATACTGGCATTTCAATTTTATATCATAGAATTGAAATACTAGTTCCTTCAAAAGCATGATTTGAAGTCCGGTAGACGTTATATGAATTCTATATAAGCTGTTTGGTCCGTAATATTTTATTTCTTGCAATTTCAGTGGCCTAGCCGCCTAGGTTTGTACAATACAAACCCCAGCATGTAGGGTTAGGTGAAATTTACCAACAGTAAAATATCAGTTGTCTCAAAAATCATTCCTTATTACAGAGATTATTTCCAAAATCTTAACTGGAACATATCTTAACTAGTTCATACTAACTGGTTTTAACAATGATAGGAAATGTCAGATGAAGATGAGGCAAACAAGTATAACAATGATGTTGATCAACAACCTGGAAAAAGGTGCAATGAAGTTAATTTTTTAAAATCTTTAAATAAGATAAAATAATATAACGTAATATTTGTTCTTAAGAGGGGTTCAAGCAGCAGCAATCTGTGCATCTGTTCTATATTCATAATTATGGCTAAGCTACATATACAGTCGATTTAGAATTGCTCAGATTGATTTTGCATGATTTTAATTTTTCTAATAGTCAAAATGTATTCATTTAAAAGTGTAGCAAACTAATTATTCTGATTGTACATGTGCAATGTGTTTTATAGAATAAAAATGTAAACAAGGAAAGCATAATTTAACATTTGACTGTACATATCACCTTAAATGAAACATTTATTTAATTTTATTATTAGGTATAAGAAACTTGTGGCATGTGCTAATAAAGCTTTCCATGATAAAAATTATGAAGAAGCAATTAGGCGCTATACCCAAGCCATCGGTATGTATGTATGATTTATTACTAGCTAAATCTCATAATTGGAGGGTGTGGTGGTGCAACAAGTGGCAATTTGGGAAAAGCGACCATTGGTCTGTTTTCCTGGTATATCTTAGCTAGGTCTAGCTTGGGCCATTAAAATTCATTGTCGGGCAAAACTGATGATAGTGTAGGGAAGACGTAGCCTAAACTATTTAATGAAAACTGAAACAATATTGCCTCACTATTCATGAAACACATAAATTCATGAAACACATAAAATGCACTTAACTTGGGTGGCAAATAACTAGAAACCTGAATCACTCTAAAATTCAACTTCTCAGAACTACTACTGGCAAATTCAACTGCATTGTATATTCAAAATAGTGGCCTTTTGTCATTGGACTGTAGTTTTTTTTTTGCATATTTGTGCATATGCTGTTTTTTGTTATTTTACTTTTCCAGCTCACATAAATTGGGCACATGTCACATCTGAAAAGCTTTTTTATTAGTGTTTATATATTTTGCATTGCAGCAATTGCAGCAATTTTGTGTGAAGATAATATTGCACATTTCTTGAGCACTTCAGCATTTCCCAATCTTGCATGTGAATTAAAGTTTATGGAAAACTGCTATGCTAATTGCATATACAATTTTATAATACTGATAATTTTTTGCAGAAGCGGGCTATAGATCTGCACATTGTTTTGGGAATCGGGCTGCTGCATTCCTCAAGATGAAGAAATATGATGAAGCAGAAACAGATTGTTGCAAAGCTATGACATTGAAAAAAGATTATGTTGAGGTATAGTTACCCTTTATTCCTTTTGAGAAATTCCCAAGTTGATGAGAAGTGTTGTCTTCTTTTTTTAATCAAAATGCATTATTTCCAGAATGTTTGAGTATCAATCAGCTGAAAGACACAAACTTTGTATTACTAGATAAATCCCAAAAAATAGTTACTACCTATGACTAGAGAGGAAAATTGTTCAATTTGATAACAAGTTTTATTTATACAGATATTTTGACCTTATACTTACAGGCCTACATCATAAAGGCAAGATGTCATTTTTTTCGAGGTTCACTTGATTTAGCTGGTGAAATGTTGGAAAAAGCAAAACTGATAAACCCACACCACAAGACCTTGGCTAAAGAGGTGAATATTGTACATTGATCTAATACATTTATGTATATTACTTCTATAAGAATGTATGCTATAAGCAGATATACTGTAATACTGATATAATTTTTTGACAAAATTTTATGCTATAAATATTGGTCATGTTTTTATCATTTTGGTGTGACAACTTTGGCTTTTTATTGTGTAAATTCAAGCACAGAAGTTCTGGGATTGATTGTCAAACCTACTTCATAACCTGATAACCCCTTTCCCCACTATGAGGCCCAGGGGCATTTTTGCATAGGTATAGGGGGCAGTTTTTTATGGTATAGACAATGTATGTAAAAACCAGTATGTAAAAAAGTTAAAATCTGCAGTACAGTGACAACTTATTGCCTAAATTAGATATGCCACTTAAAGTACAGTTTGGCTTTCTTATTTAAGTAATAATTTATATTCATTGTAGTTTTCGATGCTTGAAACAATTCTAAAGTACGAATCGGCAGCAGGACAGGCTTACAGTAGAGGAGACCACAAACAGGTTTGTTCCTCTAAAACCATTGATTGTACCAAAGTAAAATATTACAAATATGTGCACTAATGTATTAACTCGACCTGATCAAAAAACATTACGTTCTTCGACGAAGTATTTTATAGCAAATGATTATTATTTATTAACATATGATGTAGCTCTATACTGTATTAAGATACCTTCTTTTATATAGGTGGAGTGCTACGCACGAATTCTGATCGCTCTATCGCCTGGTTGTGATCGTTATAAAGTTGGCAGAGCTTATTCTCTTGTCTTGATGGGCGAATTCACCAAAGCTTTAGATCAGACAAGGTATTACGCAATTTCCTTTGGTATAAAAAACGCGTAATTGGAAAGCAGCCCTAAGGGTGTACACGCGCGTAAAAACTTAAAACGAAGTTGTTATAAAGGAAATTTAATTTTACGCCTGCTGAGGAACAAACTAATTAATCAACAGAGCCCAACCCTATATACATCTATTTATTCGATGGTTTTATAATTTATATCTATCACATCATTCACATGAATGATTTTAAACTTTTACGTGCGGTGCGTGTAGGTACGTATAGCTAATTAAATTGTGGAAAACTGATCAAAAACTGATACATGTTCATTGCTAAATTATCTAGCTCTGTGCTGTTGGTAGATGAAAAAAATTCTGATGCCTGGTATGTTCGGGCATTGTGCTTTAATTTCCAGGTAAAAGTTGTTAAAATGATTGCACACTAAGCGACCACAATTACGGAAAAAAATTGCGGATCTAATGACCAGAGAATTGCCGTGTGGCGTGGAATTTTTACAAAACAAAGAAAATAATCTCCATCTTTCAGAGGCGGTCATTTCGTTTTAATTTTTATGTGCAATTTCCTTGTTCATATGTATATAAAGTAGCGATATTTTATTGGTCGGTACTTACCTATACGAAAAAGCCATTTAGCTATTGGTCAATGGACAATTGAACACAACAATGGACGACTTGCGCTTTAGACCTAATTTTCGATCAAAGTAACTAGAAGAAAATAAATCGTCACAGCTAGAAAGATCTTACCTAAATTAGTGAAAATGCAAAGTTTGGCTGCGAAATTTTGTAAAATACGGAAAATATAGCCATGCGAAGTTGGCAAATTTTGTCATACTTTTGTATTAAGGCCCACACAGACAGGACGCGATTTGGCAACGCGGCGCGATTTTTCATTTTCCAAAATGAAATAAATTTTAAACTATTACTATATTCTTGTAGATTACTTAACGATAATACATTTTGACTGCTCTGCCGTCCCTAGACCCCAAATTTTGCTTCCAGAAATTAATTTGTGTGTTTCTGAAAACTGAAAATTCCTGTCTGTGTCGACCTTAACGCGCGGAAATGTTTACTAAATTAATTACAAACTTCCGGCCGTTAATACAAAAGTATACAAAATTCGTGAACTTCGCATGGCTATATTTTCCGTAATTTACAACAACTCGCAGCCAAACTTGGTAGTTTTACTAATTTTAGTAAGCTCTTTCAGAAAATGTCCTTTTTGATCGCCGCGAGGTAAGAAATTAGTCTAAAAGTAAAGCGACACATTTCGCTATTGTTACAAAATCACAGAACTCGATCATGCTAGATATAGATACTTAATTTTAGCTATACCTGAGCCGGACCTGCATTGATAGCAGTTGTGGAACTGAAGCAGCTATCCTGACAAAATATGTTCTTATTGAATAAATAAATAAAAAGATTCCTATTCTATTCATAGCTCAGTGGTTTACTTCCGCCTTTCTAAAGTATAAGAATATAACCTTGAGACTGCGCCTGACTTTACAAATGCTCTTTAAATTGCGTAGGGACGTTTCCAGTCAGCCTATATAGCCATCGTTGGAAAAGCCCTGAAATATAATCCCGATCACGAGAGAAGCAGAGCTATTGCACCGGTAAGTTTCCTCAAAGTCAACTCCAATACTCGATTAGGGCCATGCATATAGCTAGACGATTAGGTGGAGAGTGCATACTCACATATTCGTATATCTTTCGTTAGTGTAGTATTGTATGAGCTCTTGCAAAAATGACGTCTCATAGTAGGTTTGTCCGCTATCTTGCATGGGTATATAACATGAGCCATTTATTTAACCGCCCTCCTTCAAAGTCCTTCTAAAGCCTCGTTTACACTACACTCGGGCACGGTACCCGAACCCATTTCATCCGCGCTCGGCCTTTAGATATTCGTAGCCTGAGCGCTAATAAAATTGGTACAGGTACCCGGCCATTTAAGCCGTGCCGTGCCATTAAATTGACTCTATACAGTGTAAACAGGGCTTAAATCACAGGCACAAATGCAACCTTGTTGAAATTTTGCATGGCGATGTGCGTTAAATAATCAATTTGTTCGAACACCATGTATATATTTGTTCAGTGCAGAGCTTTCGGTCCGTCCACCCGGGCCTTCATCAGTGCACTGCTGAAAGCTTTGCGCTAAACCCTTGTCTTAACAAATATACGTGCATGATGTTCCCACAAATTGATTATTTAATTCAAAAATGGAACCTCTCGATCAATTACATTCTACATGCTTGTTTGCTCTAACTTATCTAACCCAATCTAACCCTATTTTAATATGGCAACTAGTGCAAAAAATACGAACTATATGACGTCACTTGAGCTAGTGAGTTTTCAAAGACTGCTAAAGAATATTTGAAATATATATATACCCTACAATTGTTATAAAAAACTAAGTATATAATATGCTATCCATGGTATTGGGTTTGTTTCATTATTATTATTTATTTTAATTTGAACAGACGCTTGTGACTATGAAACGCTTGCAAGATGATGCGCGTAGAGCTTTTGAGAATGGGATGCCACAACTAGCGCATCGTTTGTATTCTGAGGCGTTGGATATTGACCCCATGAACCAGGCCGGTTGTGCAAATATATACTACAAAATGGGGTTCATGATGTGCACGGTAATGACGAAATTTACTTATAGCCCTGTGTATAAACTTATTGTATTAAGTTGACAGGCGTGGCGGCCGACTGACGATCATGCAGCTTTGAAAAAACGTGGAAATTGTTCCTTTTGTATTTCTGTATAGTCAAAGATGCTTCCGGAAGCCATTATGGATTTGACACGTGCAATTGACTTAGATGGGGGCCATTTGAAAGCACGCCTACTTAGGGCGAAGTGGTATGGATATACTAAACGTTCTTTCCCCCCTCTTACCATGTAAATGTAATTGAATGTCTGGTATATGTAGAGTTTGTTGAGATTAAGGAATGACCAAATGTGATTTGGGCCAAGGACTGTTCCTTGGAAACTGCATAAACGTGTACTGCAGAATAAAAAACCAATAAAAAACCCCGACAATTTAAAAAGTGCAGTAAAAAGCAAAGTCCGAATAAACGAGACACCTTGAGAGTCAAAATATGAATCAAGATGATTTCGAAATTAATTCGAAAATTTACAGTTTCAACCTTTGTCTTGCTTGATTCATATTTTGACCCTCTAGATGTCTTGTTTATTCGGAATTGGTTTTTTACTGTACTGCAGAATGTTCGGCAAGGCACCACAAATGTTTGATCTTTTTTGATAGTTTTTTTTCCCCGAATATATTCAGTATAGATAGAAACTGGAAATAGTGTTGGAAATGTTGCCTTCCTTCCTCATTTAACTTTGGCCCTTTTTAAGTATCATCTTAAGCTTATGTTTGATTTGCTGATTAATTAAAATATAGTTACAGCGCATTTGGACAGTATGAGAGAGCCGGTGACGAATATCTTAAACTCTACGCCATGACCAGCATCCCAGGTATTGTACAACTTATACTCGTTTCAGTTACGTCTCTTATTCTGTTTACAAACCAGAGATTTATCCATGTATAGTGAAACTGTGGATAACGAACGTTTCACTTCACCTCCGTAGATCTGATGAACTTATCGATCTCGCTTATCTTAGGGCGCTTTCCTTTATACGTTAAAAACGACCAGACCGGTCCTGTTGTATTTCAGTGCAGTTTTTCAAGAACTCTACACTCAAGCATATCGTTATTTACATCTGCCTAGCAGGAAAATGCAGTTTCGCCGATTTATTTTTAACCGAATACTCCATGTCTCAATTCCAACTATGACCGGTTTGACCATTTTGGCACCAAAAGAAAAGCGTCCTCGCATGGGCTCCGTTAATGCGGTACTGTGAACGCGTAGAACCGGTCGATTGTGGTGTAAACGCAACCTTTGACCTCGTTTAGTATAATATTGGACCAAAAAAGGTTCCGACTGGACCACTTTAAGCAAAGCAAGAGAAGCCCTATCGCGCGTATCTAAAACGAAGTTAGTTTACTGTATATGAATTACATTTTGTATTGACAGGGTATTATCGATCATCCGAAGAAGCGTACAATGCGAGGCGTAACCTCTATTTTGCCCTCTATACCCTATCGCTGACTGAAGATTGTTCAGCTTTGGACGTCGAGGAAGCCTTTCGTAGGGAGGCGGGACTGCATCATCCAGGTGGGATATGAATTATTATAATTGCTCGTGTTAATTGTTCGGGGTTTCCGCAGAGTGAAGTTAGTCTGCTATAGTACTTACTTCGTTGTTAAAGCCTGAGACTCTAAACTCACAGATACACCAAGATAATTATAATTGATACTAATTTTCTGATATAATTCCCCAAAATCACCCTCTGCCCCCTTTTTGGTGTGAACGTCTTTTTGGTCTAAACTGTTCCTTTTTTTCAGGTCGCCATCCGGTGGCGAGTGACGAGGTAAAGGAAAGAGAAGAGGAAAAATTCAAAGAGGTACAATCGTTAACTTTCTCATACATACTACTTTGAACAACCATTATTGCACCGGTTAAAGTTGTGCCGGGTCCCAAGCAATTTATTATACTCGACTAAATCGTTGAAGAGAGAGTTTCAAAAGAAAAATCCATAATGGAAAAATCATGCAAACCTCAATTCTATTGATTTTGGGAATCTCTGAACCCTCAAGTCCACTTTGGGTAGGCTCCGAATTCATCTCGTTAAAATGGGCGTAATCAAATCTTGCTTGTAGGTAGGAAGGGCTCGGCAAATTCTCCGTGATTTTTTGAAAAGGAAGAATCGGTTCAATAATAACCAAGGGTGATTTTCATTCACAGATAAAGTTTTCTTTGTATTAGAAATTTTAATGGAATATGTTGTTGCCAAACGAGCGGAAACACAACCAAAAATTTTTTTTTCAACTTGATGTTCACTAATATCGTCCTTGTCCGTTGTAGATTATTTTGTGTCGGAATAAGCTCGGTGTTGAATTGCTGAAGATTACGGGAAACTTCGTAAAGAGTACAAATTTTGATATATATAATTTTCTACGTTTCGACTAAACTATCATCAGAATGATAACTATATATTCTTGGCGAATAAGATTAAATTGAATTTAATTAATATAAATCCTAATGTAATATAGGCAAATAGTTCACAAAGATGGGCGTAGCTCGGTTCTGAGATTGAAGTTATTCGCAAGTAACACCTGGGTAGCACCTCCACAAAATATATTTTTTATCTTTTAAACCTGATACACGACACGATGGTTATAAAAAAGTGGAACGTTTTTAATGTTTTGCTAACAAAATACACATTTTTCAACAGTTACGCCCCTGATTTCGCATAATATTCTTGAAATATATATTTTAACAATTTTATGTGAATATATAAGAATATATAATTTTTTTATTCTGTAAAAAATGTGTCGATTTATCTTTGTAAATTATCTTTGTAAGACCAGGGGCCAGTTCTATAAAACTGTTGAACTACATTTTACATAGTTAAATTCTAGCTATCTCAGAAATAAAAAAACAATTCTGTCCTTAACTGCAGTTAAAAGGTAAATAGTTTTTTTTATACAACTGGCCCTAGGCGTACAAGACCGATCTTTCTCCCTGAATATTATATATCGTTTTGTTATTGTGCTCAACTAAGTCGGAAGGTTGACATTAAAAATCAAACCCACCTCATTTTCGGTGTAATAATACTCAGTGCCCTAACATCTCCCCCCTTATAAAGAATCAATTCTAGACAAGAACCCCTAGAGGTTCCTAGAGCAGGGAGAACTCTGGTGTGTTGGGTGGTTCGTGTGTCCCACGCAAAGCCACGAGAAAAACGAGGGAAGAAGATGGCTGACCAAAATTCAGAGGATGTTGAAATGGAGAGGGAATTCAACCATTCTGATGGCTCCTCTAATGAGAGTATGGACGAAACAACAGACTCAGTTGAAGACGAAACGTTAGACCGCGAAGAGTTGAGTTTTTATTCCCGAATGAGTTTAACTTGGGCATGTTAGTGCGGTCAAACCGGTCATCAAATTTGCCACTAAAATAACGCAGTCTTTTGACAAACTGTCCTCTTTATTTTATCAAGGCTTGCCGAGAAAAACAAACAAGCGGGAAACGAAGCTTACACGGCAAAAGACTATAAGTTGGCTGTGAAATATTATTCTGAAGCTATTGGTATGAATTGTGTCAACGTAGTCTTTGAACATCGTATATTCAATATATTTATCTGTCAGTCTCAGACGTAATGTATATTAAAAGGTCAAATTAATTCGTAGAATTATTTAATATGTCCGTTTTTCACATACAAATTTATTGCTTCGTGTTTTTCCAATTTGATGCACAAGACTAAGTGAATGTTGATGAAGAAATAACGTGAGATATACCCAGTCTATTCGACTCAGTCTATTAAGACAGGCTAGATGACTTTATATTGTATTGTGTGAAAAGGAAGTTGTCATTTCTAAATACAACTGAAACTATAAAGTCCCTGTGATGGTTTAAACTGAGGCATTTTATTTGTACCATAATCAACCCATTCACTTGCAACGTACCAAGTTAAACCAAACATAAAAAAAATACTTCACCCTCACCTGACTTCAACTGAAAAGCAACTTAAAACAATAATATTCTTGTATGTTTGCATGGTGACATCAATAAGTGAATTAGCTTGTAGGTACACCACATAAGTTTTTAATACTGCAAAGCTTTCGGTCCATTAACCTGGGCCTTCATCAGTCAATACAAAAACAACTTAAAATAACTTAAATGGATTACCCTAGAAACAAAAATGTTCAATCAAGTGTTCAACTGGGTGGGTTGGAAAAGTTTATTGCCCTGCTTTGATTGAGGTTTTTATGGGGAATTCCTGTATTACAAGTCTTACTAACCTTGCTGACAATATCCTTTCATGAAGATGACAAGTTTTTTGTCTATTTAAGACAATTTAAACACTTCATTTTATTAGGAATTTCGTGAAATATCTCAAATACCTAGAAACATGCTAAGATGTTAAATCATTCTGTGCCAGATGATTGAGCTGTGTTAAAATAATGTGGACATGAATAATGTTGTGCATAATTCTTGTTGAGGAAGTATTCTGATTATTATTATGCTATAATTTCAGAACTGAACAAGACTTGTGCAGCATATTATGGAAATCGGTCTGCAGCATACCTCATGGCAAAAGATTACAACCGTGCACTTGATGATGCCAACATTGCCATACGTTTGGATGAAAACTACATCAAGGTATAGTAAAATTGAACCTGGGCAATTTCCCACTCCAATGAACTAGTTGGTTTTCACTTGAGATGTAAAGATTTCTGTTGTAATCTATAGGCTATTCTCTAAAAACGATTATCTTTCAGGATTGCAAGATGCAATCTTGCTCAGGGCTCAACCGAGTCCGCTGAACGAGCTTTGGGAAAAGCAAAAGAAATTGACCCGAACAATAAAACTTTGGCCAATGAGGTACAACAATCCCTTTTTATTGCAATGATTTAAATCTCACCTCGTAGTTATGTCTGGATCTTATCATCTTAATTAACGTCCATTTGAGCACTGCTAGCTTGCCAGCACCCTGAAATTATATACCTTGAGGGGACTCCCACTGAGCTGCTAGCAAGCAAGAGTGTCATACACATTCTTTTGCACACATTAAAATATAATTATATATATATATATATATATATATATATATATATATATATATATATATATATATATGGGTTTTAGTATTCAAGGGTCCATCAGATTCAACAATTTGAAGCTTCAGCTTTCGAGGCTCATGATAAAAAAGATTATCGGAAGGTTTGTGCATTTCTGTGTATATGCTTTAATTGAATACGTTCAGCATATGAAGGTCTTCCAGGTTTTCATATTAGATTTGTAACAGCATCAGATGCAAAACAGGAGTAGCATCTTTGCTTGTAGTAGTGAATACATTTGCATTTTGATTATATGAGAGTATTATGTCTTTTACTTAAACTTTTATGTTTAGTCTATGTAAAATACATTAACACTGTTTGACTGAGACAGAGGCATAAAGTGCTGCTACACAAATTAACTTAAACTGGATGTATAATGACCTAGGTAGCTAGTCACGGAAACAATGTTGAACTTTCATCATAATCATGTACAATTTCCAGGTGGTTTTCTGCACAAGACGTTTACTAGAATTGTCGCCAGACTGAGCAGAATCTCTTGCTTTGATGAAGAAATATACTGAAGCTGAAATTGAGGCAAAGTATGACATTTGATTTTTCGATTTAGGTTTCATTTAAATTGGGAAAAACTTATGTATGTTTATAATGCAGTTCTAATGAATGTGTGTTAAATTCCCTTAGAATGAAGTGAGATATTATTGTATTGTGGTAATAATCTTTTTCTTCAATTCCTAGTTCGATGCTAAGAGAAAATAACAGAAATGCAGATGCATTGTATGTCAGAGGACTGTGCCTGTACTATCAGGTGAGATTGACACCTGTTATCATATCCTATTATTCTATAGTTGTTCCTTAACTGTGTACCAGCATCTCACAATCTTTAACCTTCTCCTCTACCATGAAGTGGGGGTGTAGAACAGTATTTCAAAATATCACATGTTTTCACTGGTATAAGTTACCTGTGTTTTTTAATTTTACAATCCTTCCTAATCAGTGTACGATATCCATTCCTTACTATTACCACTTCTATGGAAAACCCTGTGTAGAAACTCCTCCCTATCCCCTGTACAAAGAATCACCCTGTTACCTGGTTTACATCCATTGGCCCAGCCCATTTCGATCTCCTGTACAAATCTTAGGACAAATCCCCTGTACATACAATTCCACTGTCCTGATCCTGGGTCATTAAATTTCATAATTTTAAAAAATGTACATTTTTAGGACTATGAAGATGAAGCATTTCAGTGTTTCACCAGTGCTTTGAAAATAGATCCCGATCATAAAAAGGCAAAGGCGATACAAAAGGTAATTTTTCTTTTAGTTCAGTTCAGATTTCCTCCTGTAGTAACATTGCATAAATAAGAGATGATCTAAGCTAACTTGACCTCTACGAAGAACAGTTTAGAACAGATAGAGCTATCCAGTATAAATAGTTTAGTTTAGGTTTCCTCCTGTAGTAACACTGGATCAATAAGAGAAGATCCTTACTGGACCTCTAGGAAGAACTGATAAAGCTATCTAGAACAGACAGCAAACTAAATTTGTAACGATACAAAACAATTTTATTTTATTTCGTTTAAAACAGAAAGCAAAGTTATTGAAGTCTACGAAAGACGATGGTAACGAAGCGTACAAAACGGGAAAATTCCAAGAAGCATACGATTTATATTCCAATGCTCTAGAAATTGACCCAAACAACGTTTCAACATGTGCAAAATTATTCTACAACAGAGGTGTCGTCGCATCTCGGGTATTTGAATTTTGAAATATCTTAACAAGTCGTCTTTGAACTCACTCTGAACTTATTCTCATTTCATACCCAACATTTAAGAAATAGACTAGAAGTAATCACAGATTAGTGATGTGCGTTCGGAATGTGTTGATTTCGGTTCACTATCATTACTGTAACAAAAATGTTAACATTACAACGTCACAGGCTCACGTGTATGTGATTCAAAAGTTTACCCGCTAAATGAGTAATTTAACAACAGAGTGAGCCCATGCTCTCCAGTTACTATGACGACACATCAGAACGAGGCAAATCTGACATCATCGCAAATCTCGATATGGCAGGAAGAAGCATTCTTCGATCTCAGAAAATTTTATTTCTCCCTTTTTTTCATGACGTCACTGAAGAACGCAAGGAGACTGGCCAATCAGCGGCCCCAAGTTGCCTGTATCGAGACTCTGATTGGCTGGATACGATCGAGAGGTCAAAATCTAATCCAGATAATTTACATTGTAATTTTTTCTTATTCTGACCGTATTAAATTTGATAACATCGACGCTGTGATACTGTTCACTGACATGTTGTCTACAATTTTATAGCTGTCACCAAAGTGCATCTTGATTTTTTCCCTGGTTTCACGTGCTCTTGTCCTGCAATTAGTGTAAATTCAATTGAAGAAACGAAGGAATTACGTCTCGGCAGTCTCGCGATAGTAAGTGTGTATAAACTACAATGTTTATTAAAATGAGAGGTACGTGCGGTACTCCAAAAGAGAGCAAAAGTTTTTAAAGGTTTATCAAGAAGCATGATTTTACCTCTCGGAAAAATGAGCTTTTCGTTTGTATTATCATATTTTAGACAAATTAACCCGGGTGAATTGGGTGACTAACGTTTCTCCTGGAGAAAGTTCAAGCTCGTTTTCACATGCCGACGCTGCAATACTTAAATTACTGCAATATAATACATTTAAAATGTAATGTAGTAATATAACAATTTGTTGAAACTTAACAAGTGTTACATGTTACTCGAAAGGCACACTTAATATCGAATCACGCACACACTGACACACAGCGACGGGTGAGTACAAAATTAAATGAAAACGGAGAACTAAAGCACATCTCGCACTAAAGCACATTTTCGGTGTCTCTTAGTCAAATACTTGTCTAGGGCGCGCGCATTAATTAGAACTTAATTAAATGAAACCGTTTAATTAATAGCGCGAGCAAACTAATCACGACAAACATGATATTTAAGTGACGCGCAAACGTGTATTCAAGTAATTGCACTGATGAAGGTCCGGGTTAACGGACCGAAAGCTTTGCAGTATTTAATACTTACGTGGTGTACCTACAAGTTATTATAATTACTAAAGTCGCCATGCAATCATACAAGAAAATTATAAAGCACATCTATTATAATGCATATTACATAAAGTTTTATACCCAAGGAAATAAAGCGCTGATTATAACAATAGTAATTTTTTGCGCGAATTTCAAAATAGTTGCGCGAAAATTAGTGTTTGTCTTTAATTAATTAATTCACTCCTATTTTCTGGTCGATGGCTACATACGTAGGTTCCTAGCCTAGGTAGGGTGGAGGGGGGTGGGGTTCAAAAGAGATGGGCCTTAGCTCTCAACATGGGTCTCCCATGCACCCCGGAATCATCCATGAGTTGTCGCGTGCGTGTAATTTTTAGAAAAACAGCTTTAAAATTTTTGCGTTCATTAAAATAATTTAAGTTGAGCAATAAAACACAATGCATACACAAACGAAAGAAATACAACAAAAGAATTTCATGCTATATTTACTATAGGAAAAGTCTCCAAACTAGCAAAATCTCGTCGTTTTAATCATATTTATTGGAAACTGCTCGCACATAATAAAATGTTTACTACCCATACCCATATACACAATACCCAGACAATGTTTACTACCCATGTTTAAATTTTTCAAAAATGAAAAAGTGACCCAAATTAATGTACTGGACCACCTAGCGGAGGTCACCGAAAATTTGGTTTAGGTCCTGTTTACATGATTCCAGGATAGCGAACTATTCCAGGACAATAATTTATTTCGGTCAAAAATCCCTCATGTTTACATGATCTCTGGGTAAATTTTAATGAATTCTAATGGCGGCAATTTTCTTATTTCCTCATAAAACAACACGAGATTAGCCTCAAAGTCAGCAATTTCGAATTCTTTCAAACTTTGATAGGAGGGGCGTATCACTTGCAAAAAAAGCGCACGAGGAAATCCCTAGGAATTTTTAAAGATTAAGACATCAAGTGACCACTGTATAGAATGGACAGCGGTATTTTTACTATGCATTATAGAAGCATTATAGTAGATGTGCGATTCCTGTATTTATAGCTGCAAGAGTTCGCCTTTCCAATGACAGGATATTCAACTCCGGGTTCGTTGCTCCGGTGGTTCGCGAAAATGGGGCTGGCTCCGGATTCAAGCGAACCCCGAGCTGGAGTGGCTAGTTAGTGATAGTGATAGTGCTTATACTTCCAACCTCCTAGCTTGCGAAACCACGACAGGCAACTGCTGTAAAGTCTAGCCGTCTGATTTCAAGCACGCACCCGTGGCATAAATTGAATCCCTTCGCGAAGGCAACTAACCCGGTTACTGCAAATTTTCGTTTTTCCACATAGATTTATTGAACTGTAAACGTCATATCAGCAATGCTAACAATTATTCGAACACTCTCAGCAAAAAAAATATCTCTTCTATCTCTAATATGCTACGGAAACAACACCGTCAAACAAGAAGTACAACTGATTCGTTCAAATCTCTACACTCTTCAATGCAGTTCCAGTTCTGTGCTTCCAGCTCTCTCATCATAGCAGATTTTCGGTGGTCTCTTGCATCTCTAAAGTAAACTGATTTTCTCTCTGGTTTAATTGCTTCTCGCGGAGTTGTTATTATGATCAAATGGTCAGATTTTACCAGACTATCGAGAACTTTAGGATTTTTCCATAAATGTGGACAATTAGTTAGAAAAATGTCAAGTATCTTGTGACCTCTTGTAGGTTTTTTTACCATTTTTTTACCATTTACATAAAAACGGCTCAAGTTCCCAAACGGCTATAAATGTGTCAAGTAAGCTGAACATCGCTCGGATTGTTTCGCAGATTTCGTCGCTGTTTTGACTTCATATGAAATTCTAAAAGATGGCCATTTGAAATTTATATTCATACTGCAATATTATAAAAGAATAAAAGCCCTTGGATAAACATGCAGCGGCGACAACTCATGACAACTCAAAATTTTGTCGACAACAACCCCAAAGCGATACTTTTTAGTTTCCACGTTGTTTTGATCTCAGGGAAAACCCGTATATATTAGAGTTCACCATTCACCTAATACAATATATAGGAGTTTCCCTGAGATCAAAACAACGTTATTATATAACATCGCTTAGGATATTTTTTATATGAGGGGCCGATTACATGGAAGCGCGTTGTTGGCCCGGTCAAGCGAGACTACTAAAACAACATGCAGAAATTGCATGGTGTTTATGATATTTTAACTCGAAAAACTCGTCGCTGGTTGATCGCATTTGTGCATTCTACAGTTTTTCTCTTTATGAAAATATCACTAAATAAGTTAAAACAAGTTCAAATTTCCTTCAGAATACGTACTCTGCAATCTTTCAGCTGAAAAATGGATAGGAATGAAAGACGTTCTAATCATGAATATGTTCGGGGATTGGTCTTGTATTATCAGGTAAAAGTTGTTTTAAATTGCTCTCTAATGGCAATGCTCTCTCAACGAGGAAAGCATGACATGAAATTGACATGAAAAAATTGACATGAAAAATGGCTGATATTGAATTTTCACAAAACAAAGCAAATAACTTCTTGTTTTAATTATATGTCATTCTTTCCAAGGCGGACACTTTGCAATTTTTTAGGCCAAACATTAAAATGTACGTCCTCCAACCTATAGTTCCTAGATTATTAGTTTTACCATTAATATATTTGGTGTTGTAACTTGCGCCAAATTTAGAAACCAGTTTGGCCGTGTATACAGCAAAAATTGATCAGGTTGTCGCATCAAAAGTGAACAATGTTGTGTAATAATATCCCATGCACGAACAGTATGGTTAACAATGTTATTTAGCCTGGTTGAACCATCAAGATTGATGCAACTCGTTGACATGGTTTTCGTTGCAAATTTGACATTGTGTATCATAAAATAGACGTCTAACCTTCTAACTTTTATCCTGGATTTACACCTAACAGACGTTGTTCTGTAAAGCTGCGTTTATTTACACACCGGCAAAGTTTCATCGGAACGATTTTTTTCCAGTGAAAAAAGTTTAAATGACTTCGTGTTTCTTTGCTCAGAACAGAAATATTTCCCAATAAAATTTTAAAAGATTCCACCTGCAAATGTGGTCCGCGAAAAACTTTTCTAGTGTGTAAATAAGGTGTTTAATATGTGTAAATGAGGTGTAAATGAGGTGTAAAAAGGTGTGTAATAGGCTGCACTCACTGAGCTGTGCAGATCCCTATTGTAGCTACATAGCTCAGTGCATGGTTTTACCCCAGCATGCCCAAAGTATATTAGCATACCATGCGAGACTGATAAGGCCGAAATTGTTAAAACTGAATATGTTAAAACTCCCCAGTTTAATTACTTAAAAATGCTATTTTACTTAGGGACGTGTCCAAGCAGCCTTCATTGCCATCGTTGTAAATGCTCTGCGATATAATCCCAATCACGAGGGCAGTAGAGCTATTGCACCGGTAAGTTTCCCAAACTGGGATCAAACTACCACAGAAACTAGACCAAGCAGTTTTTTCTACCATCCACCGCCACAAAATAAATAAATTTGGCGAAATAGCTAGAAGATTACTTGGTGGGTGCATACTCACATATTTGTCATCTTTTATGAAAGTATTGAGCTGATGACCTCTCACAGTACTAGGACCATAACATGAAAAAAGCCCCCCGTATTGAAATGAAGCTTGTGTTGGAATTTGAATGCATGATCAACGCAGTAGTGTGTAAATAGCCTAGTTTTTAGTTTTAGGCATTTAAATAAAGCGTCTTGCTTTCAATTGGGTTTATCATAATATTAAGGCAATCAGATTCTAACAAAGGCTTGATTTCAATAAAGGGGACTTTTTTGGGACACCCTGTATACCCTAGAATTGTTATAGAAACTAGTATGTAATACTTATCCTATTGAGTTTGTTTCATTATGTTATTTATTTTACTTTGAACAGAGGCTTATGACTCTGAAATGGTTGCTGGATGGTGCCCGTAGAGCTTTTGAGAATGGGATACCACTAGTAGCGCATCGTTTGTATTCTGAGGCGTTGGATGTTGACCCCATGAACCAGGCCGTTTGTGCAAATCTATACTACAAAAGGGGGTTCATTATGTGCATGGTAATGACGAAATAAATTTTGGCGAAATATACTGGTAGCCCTGTTGTAGTATACATCATTGTTAGGTTCGAAAATTGAAACATGGAAATTGATTTTTTTTTTTATCTATTTCTGTACAGTTAAAGATGGTTCCACAAGCCATTATGGATTTCACAGAAGCCATTGAGCAGAATGGGAGCCATCTGAAAGCACACCTTCTAAGGGCGAAGTGGTATGGGTAGTAATTAAACGTTCTCCTCCCCCCTTAAGTGTAAATGTGATTTCTTTTTTAATAGTTTTTTTTCGAATATACAGTAACTAGCGAATTGGAAATATTACTTCCTTACTCCGTAGGAGTATAAAAGCTTGTTTATCTGGTTATCTGCTAGCCAACAATTAATTGGCTATTCGTGCATCTGTGAGTCGTGTCATGGAGACCTTGGATTAAGTATCGTCTTCTGATCCCATATTTGATTGTTTATAATTTATACTATAATCTATATAGTTACCTCGTAATTGGACAATATGAGACAGCCAGTGAAGCATATTATGAAATCTACGCAATGACTGGCATACCAGGTATTCTGCCTCCGATAACTGAATGTTTTCGAGCAATTGAAAGTCTCTTTGGGATGTAGCATTGATAGTTTGTCAGATGCTAGTTTTAAAATATCTTGCCAGATATTGTTTCAGATACGTCTTTTTTCCGATACTCAGTTTAGAAACCAGAGATTTTTATCCATTCTGTGAAAAATTTTTTTATCAAGTTTTCTGGTGTGGACACGTAGACAGACGAGTTCAAACACGGTCCCAAATCTGTCCGGTCTCGTTTGAACGCAGCCTTTGAGATCGATTAGTTATACCATAGACAATCCAGAAGACAGAATTGCCTTCTGGATTGTCTATGGTTATACTGGACCAAGAAAGGATCCGATTACTGGACCACTTTAAGCAGATAATCTTAGAGCAAAAAGCCCTTTCGTATATAAATGAAGTTTACAGTATATGAATTACATTATATATTCAACAGAGTATTATCGATTATTCGAAGAAGCATACAATGCGGAGTGTAACCTCGATTTTGCCCTCTTTACCCTATCGTTGACTCGAGATTGTTCAGTCTTGGACGTGAGGGCAGCCTTTCATAGAGAGGCGCGACTGCATCATCCAGGTGGGTGGATATCAATGATTGCCCGTGTTAATCGTTCGGGCCTTCTGCAGAATGAAGTCAACTACTTAGTACTTATCATGGTGCTAAAATTTCGAGCTGTTATTCCTATACCGTATTTACTCGTTAGAACTTCAGATGCGGCGCTTGATCGAGGGCGGCGCTTTTTAAAAAATATTATTTGTGGTTGTAACAAGAACTTTAAATAAAAAGAATTTAAAATTAGATGTAGCCAAATGTCCCCATTTTTACAGCGAGCATTTGGACATTTTACAGAAAACCAACCTCCTCAACAAATCACTGGAATCTCTGCCTTCACCACTGACCTGCGCCTTACGAAAATTCTAAAGACCGATATAAGCATAGCGTCTTAACAATTCTGACAGTGCGTCAATTAAGCGTTGAATTTGAAAATAATTAGTGCGGCGCTCATTCGGGGGCGGCGCTCTTAGGAAAAATTTATCGCAAATGCGGCGCTTAATCGTGTAAATATGGTGGCTAATGTAGAGGGGAGAGTGATGCAAGCCATTCGCCCTGCTATGGATAGGGTGCATGCTGTAGGGGATATTAGAATGTATGTTTGGTTCAAAAAATTCTAAAAAAAAGAGATGGTACTGCTTAGATTGTAAAAGCCTAAAAGATTCTCCCAAATACAATTATAATATAATTATGTTAATTTGACATAATTCCCTAAAATTCGGACACGTCTGCCCTCTTTGATCTGAATTCACCCTTCACCTTGCGCTCCACTGAATTTTTTTGTCCCAGATCGCCATGCGGGGGCCAGTAATGAGATACAAGAAAGAGAAGAGGAAACATTCAAGGAGGTACAATCGTTGACTTCCTAGCTCGTACAATACATACTAATTTAAATATCCATTATTGTATTGGTCTCAGTTGCGCCTGGTCGCAAGGCTCGTGTTAATTATAATCCTCAACTAAATTATACAAGAGAGAGTTGCAAAGAAGAATAAAATCTCTCAATTTTGTTGACTTTGCGCAAAGGGGTGACGGAGATGGTCGCCCGGGGGACGCTTGTAAGATGCTGGAATCCCCTTAACCTTCAAATCCACTCTCGGGTCTTCCCAAATTATTTCGTTAAAATGTGCTTCAGCAAATGTTTCGCTTGCAGGTACAACGAGCCCGTCAATTTCTCCTTGATTTTCTGAAAAGGAAGAATCGTTTCAATAATCACCAAGTGTGGTTTTTGAATGCAGGTAAAGTCTTCTTTGTATTAGAATGTTTTTTTTAAGCGAATGGAAACACTGTTTTTCAAATTGAAGTTCACAAATATTTGTTGTAGATTATTTTGAACTCTGAATAAGCTCAAGTTGATCCAAGATCAACCAATTTAAAGAACACTGACAGTGGGTACTAAACAAAAAAGTCATGACTTGTAGGTACACCACGTAAGTATTAAATACTGCAAAGCTTTCGGTCCGTTAACCCGGACCTTCATCAGTGCAATTACTTGAATACACGTTTGCGCGTCACTTAAATATCATGTTAGTCGTGATTAGTTTGCTCGCGCTATTAATTAAACGGTTTCATTTAATTAAGTTCTAATTAATGCGCGCGCCCTAGACAAATATTTGACTAAGAGACACCGAAAAGAGCACGCCACGTACTATTAAGTGGCTTTCCCTCTTGGACGATAGTTTGATGTTTATAAATTTCAAATAGATCTCTCATTTTACGAGAGACAGTAAACTTATCGTTTGCTAAAATGGTAGCATCGTTCCATTTAATGCGATGATCATAAGTCCATGCATGGTGAGCTACTGCAGACTTATCCAGTTTACCTTTCTCGCAGTTCGTCTTATGTTCTTTAAGACGTATTGAGAGATTTCTACCGGTCTCTCCAATGTAAACCAAACCACATTCACATGGAATGCGGTACACACCAGGTTTCTGTTGTTCATCGACGCCATCCTTGTGTGTGTAAAGAGCGCGAAACAATTTGTTATTGCTAGAATGGTAAACTTGTATTCCAACTTCTTTTAAAATCCTAACGATTTTATATGAAGCTGGGCCAATATATGGTAAACAGACAGAGGATAGATACTGTCTCTCGTAAAATGAGAGAATCTATTGAAATTTATAAACATCAAACTATCGTCCAAGAGGGAAAGCCACTTAATAGTACGTGGCGTGCTCTTTTCGGTGTCTCTTAGTCAAATATTTGTCTAGGGCGCGCGCATTAATTAGAACTTAATTAAATGAAACCGTTTAATTAATAGCGCGAGCAAACTAATCACGACTAACATGATATTTAAGTGACGCGCAAACGTGTATTCAAGTAATTGCACTGATGAAGGTCCGGGTTAACGGACCGAAAGCTTTGCAGTATTTAATACTTACGTGGTGTACCTACAAGTTATTATAATTACTAAAGTCGCCATGCAATCATACAAGAAAATTAAAAAAGTCATGATTTTATCTTATTTTATCATACTTACGCACATGAGACTTACATCCATCTCACTAGTACCTCCTTATTTACATACGCTGGTCGCACCCACTCATCACAAACATGTAAATAATCTACATAAATTAAATCATAATTGTAATGCTTCTGGCAAGCAAATATTTTATTGTATAATACAACGTAACTGCATGTTATAAATATGGCAAATTAAAGCCGTTAATTTAATAATTAATTAAATTAAATTTTACTATTGGTAAATAGGCAATAGCGCACAGAGATGGGGCGTAGCTTGGGTGGGGTTGAGGGTATTTTTTTGCCAAGGTTCTTTGCAAAGTATGTTAAGTATGTGCACCTGGGGCCACCTAAAAATATTTTTATCTTTGAAAACAAATACATGAAACAGTGGCTCTAAAATAGTGGAGTTAATGTGCTTTTCCCGGCATTTTTCATGTTTGCGCAACAAACTATAAAGAAATACAACATTGAAAGTATGTCCCACACCCCAGAGTTACGCCCCTGATTGATATTACAGTAATTACTCCGGCTACCGTAGGTACGCCGGAGTCTTAAAACACCAGCGGCCGGAAGTTTTGGATGTCACAAATGCGACCTACGTTGGTAGTTACTTTATGTGACCCCTATTATAATGTATCACATATTATAGTGTATCACATACCTTAGTCCTCCTCCAGTCTCCCTTCCAGCCATCCTTAGCCCTCCTTTAGACATCCTTAGCCCCTCCTTTAGCCTCCTTACTTACACCACCTTAGCCCTCCTTAGGCCTCCTTAGCCATCCTTAGCCCTCCTTAGCCCACCTTAGACCTCCTTAGCCATCCTTATCCCTCCTTAGACATCCTTAGCCCTCCTTTGGCCTCCTTACACCACCTTAGCACTCCTTAGCACTCCTTAGCCCTCCTTAGCCCTCCTTAGGCCTCCTTAGCCCTCCTTAGCCCACCTTAGACCTCCTTAGCCATCCTTAGCCCTCCTTAGACATCCTTAGCCCTCCTTTGGCCTCCTTACACCACCTTAGCACTCCTTAGCCCTCCTTAGGCCTCCTTAGGCCTCCTTAGCCCACCTTAGACATCCTTAGCCCTCCTTAGACCTCCTTAGGCCTCCTTAGCCCTCCTTAGCTCTTCTTAGGCCTCCTTAGCCCTCCTTAGCCCTCCTTAGCCCACCTTAGACCTCCTTAGCCCTCTTTAGCCCTCCTTAGACATCCTTAGCTCTCCTTAGCCCTCCTTAGGCCTCCTTAGGCCTCCTTAGCCCTCCTTTGGCCTCCTTAGCCCACCTTAGCCCTCCTTAGACATCCTTAGCCCTCCTTTGGCCTCCTTACACCACCTTAGCCCTCCTTAGCCCTTAGGCCTCCTTAGCCCTCCTTAGCCCTCCTTAGCCCTCCTTAGCCCACCTTAGACCTCCTTAGCCATCCTTAGCCCTCCTTAGACATCCTTAGCCCTCCTTTGGCCTCCTTACACCACCTTAGCACACCTTAGCACTCCTTAGCCCTCCTTAGCCCTCCTTAGGCCTCCTTAGCCCTCCTTAGCCCACCTTAGACCTCCTTAGCCATCCTTAGCCCTCCTTAGACATCCTTAGCCCTCCTTAGCCCTCCTTTGGCCTCCTTACACCACCTTAGCACTCCTTAGCCCTCCTTAGCCCTCCTTAGGCCTCCTTAGCCCTCCTTAGACCTCCTTAGGCCTCCTTAGCCCTCCTTAGCTCTTCTTAGGCCTCCTTAGCCCTCCTTAGCCCACCTTAGCCCTCCTTAGCCCTCCTTAGCCCTCCTTAGACATCCTTAGCTCTCCTTAGCCCTCCTTAGGCCTCCTTAGGCCTCCTTAGCCCTCCTTTGGCCTCCTTAGCCCACCTTAGCCCTCCTTAGACCACCTTAGCCTCCTTAGGCCTCCTTAGCCATCCTTAGCCATCCTTAGACATCCTTAGCCTCCTTAGCCCTCCTTAGGCCTCCTTAGGCCTCCTTAGCCCTCCTTTGGCCTCCTTAGCCCACCTTAGCCCTCCTTAGACCACCTTAGCCTTCCTTAGGCCTCCTTAGCCATCCTTAGCCATCCTTAGCCCTCCTTAGCCCTCCTTTGGCCTCCTTAGACCACCTTAGCCCTCCTTAGACCACCTTAGCCCTCCTTAGCCCTCCTTAGCCCTCCTTAGACATCCTTAGCTCTCCTTAGCCCTCCTTAGGCCTCCTTAGGCCTCCTTAGCCCTCCTTTGGCCTCCTTAGCCCACCTTAGCCCTCCTTAGACCACCTTAGCCTTCCTTAGGCCTCCTTAGCCATCCTTAGCCATCCTTAGACATCCTTAGCTCTCCTTAGCCCTCCTTAGGCCTCCTTAGGCCTCCTTAGCCCTCCTTTGGCCTCCTTAGCCCACCTTAGCCCTCCTTAGACCATCTTAGCCTTCCTTAGGCCTCCTTAGCCATCCTTAGCCATCCTTAGCCCTCCTTAGCCCTCCTTTGGCCTCCTTAGACCACCTTAGCCCTCCTTAGACCACCTTAGCCCTCCTTAGCCTCCTTAGGCCTCCTTAGCCCTCCTTAGCCCTCCTTAGACCACCTTAGCCCCCTTAGCCCTCCTTAGGCCTCCTTAGCCTCCTTAGCCCTCCTTAGACATCCTTAGCCTCCTTAGCCCTCCTTAGCCCTCCTTAGGCCTCCTTAGCCCTCCTTAGCCTTAGCTCCCCTTAGCCCTCCTTAGGCCTCCTTAGGCCCTTAGCCTCCTTAGCCCTCCTTTGGCCTCCTTAGCCCACCTTAGCCCTCCTTAGGCCTCCTTAGCCCTCCTTAGCCCTCCTTAGACATCCTTAGCTCCCCTTAGCCCTCCTTAGGCCTCCTTAGCCCTCCTTAGCCCTCCTTTGGCCTCCTTAGCCCACCTTAGCCCTCCTTAGGCCTCCTTAGCCCTTCTTACACCACCTTAGCCCTCCTTAGACCACCTTAGCCCTCCTTAGCCCTCCTTAGGCCTCCTTAGGCCTCCTTAGCCCTCCTTAGACATCCTTAGCCTTCCTTAGCCCTCCTTAGGCCTCCTTACCCCTCCTTAGCTTACCTTAGACCTCCTCAGCCCACCTTAGACCTCCTTAGACCTCCTTAGCCCTCCTTAGACCTCCTTAAACCTCCTTAGACCGCCTTAGCCCTCCTTAGCCCACCTTAGACTTCCTTAGCCCTCCTTAGCTTTCCTTTGACCGCCTTAGCCTACCTTAGACCTCCTTAGCCGTCTATACATCTTCTTATTTCTTTCCAAAAATATATCACATTACACGGAAAATACATAACATACCTTTTAAAGTGCTACCGCAACGAAATTTTCGACCCCATTTTTATTGGCTCAATTTAAAGTTCTCACTTTCCTGATTTCATTTTTGAAAACATAATCAAAATTGGCTTTCTCAAAAGATTTTTATAGCTTTCCAAAGTCGCGATTTTTGCCACTTCCTGTGCGAACTTTTGCTCCGCCATAATGTAGTTTGTGACGTAGAAAAGAGTACCGATTCTTAGCATGGCGTAAAAATACTAGTGTTAAGTAGCCTCATCGACGAAGAAGCTGCGTTTCTTACAGTCCCTACTAAGCCAGTATTCATCAAAATTATTAAATATCTATACATATGTTCCTAACGAAAAAATGGATCGCCAAAGTCGAAGAAAATATTGAATTTTGTTCCGACTTTCTGTTTCATGGTGCGGTTCTTTGCGCGGCTAAGTCGATTTCAAAGATTCGTATATGACTCTTGTTTAGCAAGATCCCTTAAATAAAAGAGTATCGAAAGAAGATTCTGTGCATACATTTGATGTCTGAACTGATCGTAGCACAAGTTGAAAGCTAACTGATATATAGGCAAAGGCTGATTTTACCATCAATGCGGAGATACTTTGCGCGCACATGCATTCATGCTGAATAAAGCTGATGTTGGCCTTGGTGTCTTAATGTGCACGGCGAGTGCCGTTTCATAAGACATTGAAGTTCAATTTAAATCAGCAAGGATGGTGTTTCTTG